CTTGCTAAAATCAAGTCATCCAATTACTCCTTGACTAATCAAGGCTGTTTTGGCTTTTTCTTTTTTCAAAAGGTACTCAACAGCATAAACAGTTCACTTACAAGAAATGGAAAGGGGCTAATCAGCAGAATTATTGTTTTGCTGCCACAATTTGCAGTATTTAAATGTAGTTGCTGATTGGACTGAAAGTTTTATGATATAGCATATAAAACTAGTTCGACATAAAAACGAAGAAGCTGCCTATAGCCTAAACCTTATTGTTTCTAGCTGCTCCAAGCTGCCACTGAGATGCTAAAATCCAAATCAAAATACTACTCCTAAACTTACCTTATTCTGCTCCTAATTGCAATTATGGAAATTAATTATTTTCAAGATTAATTTCTCTTTTATATACCAGTCGCTTCATTTCTCTAATTATCCTTACCCTTAAAGTAAAATGTAACCAAACATTTGGCTAACACTAAGCCTCACATAATGGCATTCTGGTATCTTGCATTCATTTACTAAAGGTAAGCAGTGTATTGGTACATGTTATGCTGCAATTAAGTGGGATATTTACTACTTGATCAGAATCTGAACTGCATCACAAGCTGAAACTCACATTGGTATTTAGGGTAATGACCAGCATTTTTTGACAATAAACTATAAGGGAATGTTTAATAACACCACCACAAACCAGACCTAGAGAGTAATTGGTACTTGCACTTCCTCTCCCACATACGTTCAATGACTGCCATCAAAAAGAGCTGCTCGGCACAGACAGGCACGTCACATCACGATACACACACACCCTGTTATAAGCCCTGACATAAATGAACAGTAATATCTATCTGGCCACTTACTGGTGGGAATGGGGGAGAGAACAAAACTAGCTAAAATACAGTAACTTGAGTGTGGAGCTAAAGTAGGGTATTTCTTTGAGCTACAAAAAAACACGACTAGAAGTGTAAAAAAAAATTATTAATAATATCTATACTTAGACTGGCTTGACATGCTATCATCAGTGTTCCAAAGATTTAAACAGTAAAAGATACTGCTATTTCTGATTGAGGTACAGGTATATTTAACATTACAGAATGTACTAAACTTTGATGACAGTACATTTTACTATCCATATTTATTATTAGAAGAAGAAAATAATACCACCAGAATCAACATTTTACAAATAAACATTTTATAAACAAAGCAAATGTTAACAAAGGGCCAAAGATAAAGTAGGTTTAGCATGTTTTCCCTTACAAGCTAATTTCAAGTGAAATTAATCACCTGTAACACAAACCTAGTATTCTTTAAGCAGAGTAATTTTCAGCTGAAGAAGATGCACCTGCCTACATCTTCAACATCAGCAAAATCAAGTACAAAAAACATTAAATAAAATGTTGTAGTAAACCTTGACTTCTGAAAAAAGAATTTTTTTAGACATCTTTTGTGGCTTTGTTTTGTGCTACAGCCCCTTAAGTTTTGTCTTCATAAAGCCCTAACTAGTTGTAATCACTTGCAGTCTAATTGTGGACATTTATCTGCTTTTCTTATGCACAGAACATAGCTATTAAAGCTGAATGGTGATGGTGTGAAGTATAGGTTAAATTGGGTGAAATTAAAGCAAATTACTCTGGGATGTGGAACTCTGAAAATAGAAACCGCCAATGATTTGCAACCCTCTTGATGATCAGCTTCAGAGAACCCTAAATGACAAGAAAACTTACATATTTTAAAGTTAACTAGATTTTTTTTAAAATAATATGTATAAATTTATTTTAAATGCAAGCAGTCACTCTGGCAATAATTATTTTGTCTTACCTGCATCGTAAAAATATAAGAAAAGCTTTTAATTTCAATTTAAAACACTTGTTTTCAATCTTAAGTTTAACTGATTTTTAGTGACAAAAACCAGTTCAGAATATTAGGTGCAGTACTAATGACTTTGAACACAACATTGCAGTTTATTTGTACCATATGGCTATACAGACACAGGATGGTAAAAAAAGCTGTTTTGGGCTTTCTTGACTGGTGCAGTACTAAGACTTAATTCATTACCTATATAAAAGACAAGCAGCTACATTCACCCTGCTGAGCCCTAACACCACAGCAGTCAGGAGAGAGCAAACTGCTCCCCAAAAGTCTGAAATGGTGGCAAAAAGCAGCCCTTTCAGTATCAAATCTACTGGGAGCATTAGACAAAAAAGGGCATGTCTGTTTCTGCACTAGCAGACACACAATGAGAGCGTGGAGAAGCAATACAGGATTCTAAATGACTGTAGTATCAACTTCTTAAGCATACAAAGAATTTACCTTTGCATAAAAGTACTTGTAAAGCAAGTACTGCACAAGGTCAGAGATATAAATTATAATCTGCCCAGGAAACACTGAGGCAAAGCAATTCACTTCAGGGCATGAGAGTTGGCAGAAGAAACTACAATCCAGTTCCTGATGGAGGCAGATTTATCAGAGAAAAGTTGTTACCAACACAGTCACTCCAATGGGTTTCTCTGTAAAATTCTGATCCAGAGCTCCTACTCTTGAGTGTGCCTGACAAAAATTAGTGATTTATTTTGGATGTAAAATGTGTTTACTTGCCACTGCTCTTTCATCCTGGTACCACTGGGCTGTAGTCATCACTCCACAGGCAAAACCTTCTACCTGCTGAAATTTGCTATCAAGTTGGTTATACTGAGTAAAGGACGTTATTTGACAGCTGAAGTAATAAATCTTTGAGCCCTTTGTCCCTGTTTGCCAAGGGCTTGCTCTGACTGCCCTTGATGAGGTATTTTAAATACTATCACTGCACTTCCCACCAAATAGTTTGAACACAATTGGGACGTACTCCTTAATTTCCTTTCTTGCAACATGTTACCTGGGTAATTCAGAGATTCACTATCAGAGGACATTTTGGAAGCGCAGCACTCCATGTAAAACTTTTTGACATGGCTAGCATGTCACATAAATTGTTTAAAATTGCCTAGAAAACCTAGTCTATTTGTTCAGATTTTTACAAACCACAACTGTGTTAAGTGGAAGAAGGGGCAAATGAGGAACCTAGCCTGGTCAAAAGCCAAAATACCTGAAGAATGCATATGCTTGCTTCAGAGACAAGCACTCTTGGCACTCTGAGCTCAGTCCCGTTCTATTTTAGGTTTTTTTCTGTTCTAATGACCAAAAGTCTTCATTTGTGAGTTTAAGTTATGAAAAGAGAAGCGAACAGGAACAAGGGGGATTCTCCACAGAACTCCCCTCACTGGTGAGTGTTCTGCAGCAGCACTGCCTGCATAAAGCATACAGCACGCAGTAAGGTCTGACCACAAACAGCAGTGGGTAACTTCTAACATATCTCTGTGTACCCTACTCAAAAGTAGACTGAAATTCATATATTTGCAATCTGATGGAATCTACACTGTACAAAAACATGGTTCCTAAGCAGAAACCATTTGGAAAGTAGAAATATGTCCATATGTGTAACTGTGCATTCATACTGCTTCCAGAAACTCCCAATCACTGTGCTGCATTTTACCCCTTTTTTCTGAAGGTCAGACATCCTGGTCTTCTCTTTAGGAATATTCAGTGTCAAGCTCTATGGTGCCAGTCATATCTGGTATCTCTGAGGGTCAACATAACAAAATACAGTTGCATTTTGCTAGCAGTAACTATGTTTTTAAGAGAATATATCTACAGAGATCATGAATAGCAAGTAGCAGCCATTAGCAGAAACCCACAGGGCAGTTCTACCTGGCCTTGAATGACCAGATACATAGGAAACATCTTAATTATTCATGGACTATTTATCTGAGATTGATTATGTCAAAGGTGCAGGAATATAAAAAGCACACTTGAGCACTGAAGTTTTTATTGGGTCTGGAATAGCACTACTTGGAGGTTTCCATGACTGTACTTCTACTGAAACACTCTGAATTCCTAATGCTACAACAAAGTCCAAGCCACTAAACACTGCTGAGCCCGCTCGGATTCCTGTGCAAAGATAGTTCAGCTCCCTGCTCCACATTCTTCACAACCAGGAAGGTTATCAGTCTTTGCAAAATAATGAACAGAGAACAAGCAGTTCAGTTCAGCACAGAATGCAAAACTAAACCCTCCTGAAACCCACAACAAAGAATATAAAATTGTTTCAATACAGCAGCTTCTCTTCAAAAGCATTTAAAGCAATAACTAAGGTATACAAATATCAAGGAAAAAAAAAAACTCAGTAAGAAGCTTTCTGCTAAAAGAAATTAGTTATCCAAGAAGATAACTAATTCCAAATATTCCAAAAGTTAAAGTTACATTTTTGCTATAATAAAACAGCAGCCCTACAAAACTGCCAAAACTCCTTGCAGTGCCTTACAAAAATGCTATAAAAATGGATTATAGAATTTGACTGGTGAGGGAAAAGAAAGCTATGTTTACAGAGCAGCCATTTTTTACCAGAAGAACAAGACAGTATTTGGAAGAAGAATACTTACAAGGAGTTGTAAACTCAATCCGTCACATGTTAACAAAGAGCCTTATTCTCCATTATCTCAATGTTTCTCCTTTGAGGATCTATTTTGTTGCACAAGGGAGGTGTGGAGGAGTAAACATACTTAAGGGAAGACCAGCTGATGTATAACAAAAACAAGAGTTGAAAAAGATTTCGATCAGCAAATATTGTTTAATCAGTGCCATTAGGTATGCATATACCCTATATAAGTTATAGGGCATATGTGCCCTATAACTTAGGGCAGCGCTACTAGAGTGAATAAAATAGCTTTAAAAACAAAAGCAAAATGCCTCTCAGTAAATCTACCTTACAAAACCTTCCCTCTGGACATTGTGACCCACATTCATAGTGTAAAACAAATTTAATGCAAAAGAAGCAATACTATTAATCCAGTTTTATCCTTTGCAAATCAATTCCAATTTTAGAAGAGTGCTGCCTATGGGTTTCTAGTAATAAAAATTAATAACAATCATTTTTAACTATATCATTAGCTTTAGCTGCATCATTAGGTTAAGAGCTTATTTTTCCACACACTATTTTTCACATGTTTACATCTCTACAAATTAAGAGATGTCACAGTTCTTAGGACCTCACATAACAGTACAGGCTTGCAATTATAAGAAATAACAAATTATCTTTTTAGAACAGAATCTGAAATACTAAAAACACAAGGCAATATATAATTTGCATCTTATCTGAGATGCTAAACTTAATAAAGAGGGTTTTCAACATTTCCTGTTCAATGTTCAAATCTTCATGCAACAGCTGACAACACCAAACTCAATACTAATATTTTATTTTGGATGTTAAGTCTCTTCCTTTACAATTATCAAAAAAACATCCCATCAAAAAATTATTAAATTGCTTGCTATAGATTGGCTGGCCCATCATGTGGAAAGTAAAGAACTCATTTTGTACATTACTTCAGTGAAGGAGTCCCTAGCCCTCAGACATTCACTTTTTTCCCTAGCAGCGTTTTATTTAAATGGCAACTATATTGTGGAACATACCAATTGTGTTCTGTAACTATCTGGCACCACCTAGTAGCCACTGGCATCTTCTTTACTAGTAATCATTAAGAGATTGTGTTAAGAAATTGTGAAATGGTGACACTGAGTATGCAAGGAATAGTAACTCAGACTTCTTGAACATCACATGGTTAAGAAAATATTTTATGTTGAATTAGGTATAGTCACTAACTACTTGTGTACTGCACAAATGATTTCTGACTTCCTTGAAAAAGTACATTAAATACTTGTGTGTATGTTGGAATTTTCAAGCAGTCTAAGAATCTGCTGGCAAATTTTAGCAGCAGTTGACAAAATGCATTGTTTTATACATGCATGCAAAAAACTGGCCTGTTATTCCCTTTTCCTAGCCTCAAACACACAAATAAATTAGAAACTAAGAAAGAAAACATCAGCTTTGATTAACCTGAATCCTCGATAACACAGGGTGTTTTTTCCATGACTGCCGGAGCAGAGTGCCTTGTAGGCCCTAATACCGGGGAGGGGGGACGGAAGAGGAAAAATATTAATATATCAAGGCTACTTCATTATGTTCTCAAGGTGTGACTGGGTAGAAATCTTTATTTCCAAAGGTATTACTCCTTAAGCCTTCAAGCAAATACAAATATGCAGCCCCGCTGTTCTGCTCCTTGCAAAATAAATATATGATATTTTTGCAACATCTAACCACAGCTTTTTAAGCGGAAACAGTTGTTCTTTTTTTACTTTAGATGTCAAATCCATCACAGAAAAGAATTTTGTTTTTAAAAGACCTCCTCAATGAAGCAGTTCGTCTCCCTGCCATTTAGCTCACTATATTTTTACAAGCACCAGGCTGAGCAAACTATGATTGAGAGAAGCCATCTTATGCACATTGCTGTTGTCCCACATCATTCAGAACAAACCTTTTTAGATCGTTAACTACCACAGGAGTGCTGATTACACAGGCACCAGCAATTTCCTAACCAATGACCACCTGAACAATGATGTGTTCAGCTTCTCAGACCCTGAAGCCTTTCAGAGGTGAATCATTTCACAGTTTGGAACTAGATCTCCATAGCAACTTCCCTTTGAGGGTTTTAGAATCACCATCCCGTAATTCTATGATCATCAAGCTCAACCATTCCCAATGGTTCTTTTCACAGCAGATGGAAAAGGAAGCCTTGAAATTTTACAGTCTATTTCAAGCAATTCATCTGGCAGCCTATTAGAATTCAAAATATTTCGACCTTCAATCACAAAGCATGTTATCTGAAGCTGTGGTGATCTCAAGTCAAGACAAGCAGACGTTTTAGTCTAATCATCCATGATGAGAAGAGACTGACAAAAACTCTTAATTCAACCACCATCAAAATGCTTATTTTAACTGCATGAAAGTCTTTCAACAGGCAATGAAAACACACCATGTACCATTTTATCACAACCTTCCATTCAAGGGAAATACGAATTCTGAATATTGGCATGGATCTTTGCACTCGCTGACTGCTTTTGAACAAATATCTCCTCCTTGGAAGTCAGTTTAAATCCAAATCTACCACTTTTTTTTTTCAACAGCTGTCAAGGAAAATTATAGAAGCAAACTGAAATTAAACTTCTCATGATTTTGAGTACAATAATGCTGCAAATGAGTTACTTATTGATAGATCCATTTTCTTACAGGCATCTTCTAAGAAAGACAAATCACTAACTACTCAGAAAATAAATACCTATTAAATTATGAAAACACAGCATTGGCTAAAATCTTGAAGCAAAGCTCAGTTTCATGATAGTCATAATCAGAGGGATGTTTAAGGCTGGGGATATTTTCCTTTTTCTGTTCCCAATTCCTAGCTCAATTCCCTCTGGCATTAAAGAAACATTTCCCTTCTCCTGAATGTTTCAGTCAACCACTGAAATAATCCCATCGGGGCACAACAGCTTTAAATTTGAAAATACTTTCACCTAAAACACCAGGCTGATTCATTTATATTCATCAACTTTAAACACAAGCTAAATTCAAATGTTTTAAAATCTCACCTATGCACTGCTATACACTACTATGTTATTAATATCGTTATCTGGTGACTAAAGAATGCAGAAGGCCTCAAACTTTTCATGTGTCAAAATGCCACTAATGGATTTTTAAAGAATGAGCAGTAAGTTTACTTTTTAAAAAAAAATCAAAGAATCACCTTTTAGTGACTTGGCAGTGAGATGCTGATATTTAACAAGTGCAGTAAAATGCATGAAACTTAAAAGGAACAAGAGAAGACCCCCACCTGCACCCAGGCCTCAATATCCATGAAGAATAGTGAAATAAGGGAAATTAACATATATATTATATTTTGTAACATTCATAGAGGAAGGAACACTTAATTGTTTTACTTTCTTTAAATGAAAAAAATGCATATTCAGAGTCCCTAAGCAGTTATTTAACTGAGAGAGTGGCCACAATTGAGACCCTCTCCACAGCACTTAAAATGCCACATTTTATTACCTACAGAGAAAGGAACAGCCCCCTCCCCCTTCACTGACCTTATTCTCCTAGGTATCAGCACTGCTGAGCCATACTCTTACACTACTTCAAAAAAAACTCTTTAAAAATTAGAAACTTACTAAAATAACACATAAAACTAAAAGATCTTGAATATATGATTTACTGAGTAGTAGCTTAAACTGAGAGTTAAAATATTGATGAAATAATTTTGAAAAATTACTGTAAAAGAAATGATGGAAATACTTAGGGGAATAAATTGGCACAATAGAGGATTTATCTTCATATATTTTTCACTGTTTGCAAAGTAGCCCGAGAGCAGAGCTGCTTACACTGTACTACATGAAGATCTGAGGGGAAGTATCTGAACATAACCACAAAATTTAACTAAGGATGAAGCTAGATTTAAGACAGAATAAAGCAAATAAAAATGTTATGCATCAACTAAAAATGTAAACTGTTTATTTCTATGTACAATCAACTGAAATAAACACAGACTTTATCCTAGCAATCTGAGAAAGAAACACCATGGGAAAAAACCTTGAGTATGTTAAGTACCGTCTCCTGCAAAGACCAGAGATTACAGCAATTACATATGAACAATATTAAAATTCTTAGTGGTTTTCAATGCTAGATCGGTTACTACTGCAAATATCTTTTTAAAGAGACAGAGCAGTTACAGGATACATTTTACAATACTCGTAATTTTTTGTTCAATAAAATTTTCAACTTTTTTTATTTCAATATGAAAGGCAATCAAATATCTTTGTTATCAGATGTTTTAAATCCTCTATAATGCTTAGCTTACTTCTTTTCAGCTGTTTACCAAACATAACATAATGAGCATGTACAACCCTTCATTCAGCATTGGTCCAGCAGAAATTGAAAGTAAAACTGCCCATGAGCACCAAGTTAAATAAAGAACTTGCTAATTAAAAAGTACAACTGTCACTGCAACAAAACCTACATGTGTAGACAGATCTACATACATGTAATTTTGCAGTGCAGCTATTGGTCATAATTTGAACAGGAGCATTTTTTAAAAATTCTTCAGTAATAGTAAATTAGAATTCTCTTGCATTGTACAATTAGACTGACAGCAAAGGATACCTATTAATAACACATATGCAAATTATCCTAGAGTTACATCTTTACAATCTTTTTTATGATTATGCACATGTTTTAAAGTACTTTCATGGTATTTTACCAGATATTTCTCATAAATATTAATTTCAAAATCTAGGAGGCAATTCTTAAAGTCTTTTTCATATGTCTCTAAGAATGAGAACTGCACTTCCAGCCGTTCTCATTCTCATTTTCCTCTTCCCAATATTCCACCACCATATCTGGAAAACCTCATCTTAAGCACAGTAGTTATATATTAGCTCACTGTTTAACAATCTAGAATAACCTTAAGTTTATTTCATAACATATAATCAAGCAACATACAGTAATTAAAGCACACTGAAAACAGCAGTTACTAGCTAATTAACATTACAGAAACACTTTTCTTAATGCTAGAAAAAGACAAAGATTATATAAAATACTGTAGAATGAGGAAGAGTTTGTTATGAACCTTTTTGTTTAAAACACTGAAAACTTCAACTTGAGACTCTAAAGTTAAACTACTTTTAATTCATTAATTAAAAATTCAATGCAGGTTCTACATGATGAGGTAAGCCATTTAGGGACTACCCTTGCACCACATTGTTCATGAAGGGCAAGGACCACTCACATAAACCATTGTGAACCTCAGGACAGCTCGCCATCCATTAACATGCCCAAACTCTACATTATCTTCATTGATGCAGAGTTAAAGAAATAATACAGTCTGACTATGTTCATGGCCATAGGATTCTGGCATCACCACAGCACCTGAACTGCACCTAGGGACAAGCAGCAAAGGCTGTCTCAGGCCGTGACAGTGACAGGCCCTGGGCTGGAGTTTGGGGATGGCTGCCAGGCAGCCTCAGTGCTCTTCTGAACACACTGGTTTGCAATGCCAGTACAGCAAAAAGACTTTGTCAGATAGTTATTTTCTGCTTTGTTATTAAATTATCACTTTAGAACAGTGACAGTATTTTACCTCTACATGCTATTTTTAAACGCACCTTCTACTTCTTACATCATATTTTATATTTTATATCTGTCTGTATTGAAAGTAATACCTAAAAAGGCTTATGAGGTAAAACTGAGTGCACAATCAGCTCTAGCAAGCAATCTGTGTGGAGACCAACACTTTGATATGAAAATATACTCTGATATTTTTTCACCATTATTTGTATCACACCATTATTTACCAGTGTCCATATATTCTTATCTGTTCTGATACATTTTTATCACTTAACAGAATTTTTCAATGTCAGGAATTATTTTGTCACTTGCCATATTTTCTAAGCTTTGCAAACACAGTGCATACGCAGGTGTATTACTTTTCTGTGCAATTTCATGATGACTAGATGGGCGAACACAAGGATCACAGCTACAAAGCAATAGCTGGTCAGTAGTAAACAACATCAGGCCTTCCATAAAGTCTGGCATACAACCACAGCTAATTTTGTGCTGACATCCAGGCACAGGGCAGTGCACAGGCAAAAACATGGCCAACACCAAACACAGGGCAGACTGCCTTTCTCAGTAGTATTGCCTTCATTTCCTAGGCACTATAAGCTGGCAATTCTATGCACATCCTTGTGGGGTTTCTTTAAATTTTGAAATCCAACAGATGCACTTACACAAAGGTACACTCAAATTCTCTACACATGAATGTCAGTATGAACATTTGTATCACACAGTAAAGAAAGCCTGTATCAAGCAGGCCACCTCAAACTGCCTTTTAGCACAAAGAAACATGTATCTTAAAACATTTCCTCTCTGATAAAAAAAAAGTAGTTTAAATTCAAACATTCCAGAAAGAAAAATAAGTAGTATGTTATTATCCTTCACTTGACCCCTGCCTTTTTAAACATCACTGCCACCACAACTTCTTCAATAGGCTGTGATACAAACTGTCAAACTCAGGGGCAGTGAGACAGTTTCAGAAAACACTGAAACAGACAATGGTGACTGCTAATTCCAGAACAAAACATCATTTGTTCAAGGTTTGGTTTGACACTAGTCTTATTCTCCTCATAAAATAAACCTAAAAATCATTCTTAGACAGAATGAAGATTCTCTCCATCTCAAAACACTCAAAGAAACTCTTCAAAAGAAAAGTATCATCCTGGCCATCATGCTTCTGGCAATTTTTGAAGTCTCTGAAGCAAGTCGTTGTCCATCAGACACCCTTAAATCTTTAAAGAAAACTTTCATCCAATTATTGTAGGAAGGTTCCTTGCAATTTTTCCCCAAAAGCTATCATATTAGGGTTCCTAAAGCTAGTATACTCTCAGAAGATGCAGAGTCACAATACTTACACTTCTTCACAATACATGAAAGATGACAACGCTCCCCAAATTTCAAAGGATTTGTAAAAGGCACATGCAATATTCAAACATTTGCATCAATGCCTCTAACACTACTACTACAGATGCCCCCCCAGACAAGCAAGTCAAGCACCACCATCCCTTCATGCAGCTTCACTCAACTTACAGCCTGCTCACCCTTTGCCCACAGCACAGAGCTGACAGGACCAAGCCAGAGGCCAGAACTGTTCTAGCAGATCTCACGCCTCTCCTAGTTCATTGACAGAAAAGATTCCTTAAGATTTACATCCTCTTTTAAAGTAACCTTATGATTCCAAAATGAGTTTGTTATAAAAAGACAATTCACAGTTTAAGTTTTCTTTTTCTGTAACAACCTTGATACAGAATACTGTACGCACTTTTTACGTAATGTATGTTCAAACCTAAATTAGATCAGGGATTAAAAATAAAAACTCAACTATATCACATAACAGCATGAAAGTGTTACTATTTCCTTTTGATATGGCAGGAAAGCCTTATTTCAGATCTTTTGAAAATATGCTTGAACTTCAAAAAGTTTAGAAGACACGCACAACAAATCAACAAGAGACTTTGCTTTAAAAAAAAAGGTTCAAAGAAAGCAGAGCTGTTGCAATGCTATGAAAACAGGATGTATTTTGTTTTTCAGTTAACCAATGTTAATTGAAGGCTTATTTTTCAAACAATTTGTGTCTATAAAAATTTTCTAAATTTTATTATATGTTTCTGCAGAAGAAGGAAACTTCCAAAAAGCTATAAAGCCATTAAATTTCCATTCTGACATTCATTTACTATTACATACACATACAAAATCTTTTTCTTTAAATAAATTGGTAGGCAGCATAGCTAAGAAAAAACATGCTAAGTGAACAAAAGATGGATTACTTTTGACTAGACTTTCCATTTTGGTGAAAAATCAGAACTCTGATCACAAGCAAATTTTTCTGTGGTTTGCTGATTACTAACATTAGAAATGTTCTCCGAATCATTTAAATCATCTGTTCCTTTACAATGTGCTTTCAGTTACTTGTTTTCAATCTTCAATACAACATTGCTGATAATATTACAATATCCCTTCCTCCGAAGAGAGGCAGTTAGACCCTGTCTGCATTCCACAGGAACATAGCCTTGCTCTTGGATGCAGCTCCATCTGCCCTTCTCCCCAAAGCCCAGCTCACCCATCTACTCACTCCATCAAGACAAAAAAACTGGTGGCATATGATACTGATTTATGAATTCAAACTGCATCAAAAATTCAAACTGCATTTAAATACAAGCAGTATTTTCTTTTACCAAAAATTTCCAAAAGGTTCTTTCTTCTCAAAAATGCTGAATATTTCAGCTTAGTTTTGTGGAAGTATTTCTATGCAGTGCTTGTATAATACAAGAATTCATGCACTTCTGTGTAATTACAGATGTTCTGAAACAAAGAACGTTATTTGTTCTCCAAGGCAAATTTTAAAACAGGGAAAAAAAGTAACTTCACATTGATTTTACGGCTGAGATTTGAAATTGCTTTGTACTAACTTATCAAATTTCAGCAAATTTAAGTTTTAAACTGAGAACAATTTTCCTATAGCTACAGTGAGATATCTTTCCAGTCAAAAAGCTTTCAGTTCTGAGACCGTACACAAATTATTGTTTCTTATATTTTCACTGCTCTAATACATTAAATTAACAACAACAGTGGTGTATAAAATCCTGTTAACCCTGCTGTTACACAAGAAAACAAAAGTGGGAAGGGGAAAAAAAACCTCAAATGAGCAAACATGCAAAGGCATTCTGGGAAAAAAAAATCCATAAACAGAAAGAGATGAGAGAAAAGAATAACTTGATGTTTTTAGCTGGCAAAAGCAGCATTTCTCTCCAGCAGGGAGGGAATTTGGCTATTGCTTATGGGAACCAGATGAAGGGACTCCTCCTACGACTGCAGCACACAAGCTAGAAACGCTGGTGTTCTGCACCAAGCTGTCCATAGAGCGGCAGCTGAGGGCACCTTGCAGGCAGGCAGCCCTGAGGCTTCCCAGCATCACTTCTGAGAATCCCACATCCCCTCTCCCAATGCCATGTGTTCCCAACTCGAGGACAGCCATCACAAGGAAGTTGCCCAGCCTGCACACAGGAAGAACGGCCTGTAGCCATCAGCTCATGCCCCTGTGCAGGGAACCAGACACAGCCACCAGGCACCAGTGTGGGAAGCACACCGGACACATCCACACACCACTCGGATACACCGTTCTCCTGCACTCCCTTAATTCACTGACCAGCAAGCTGCACCTTTCCACCTACAGCAAGACTAGGAAAAACTGCAAAATTCTTGTCCAAAATAGTGGCTGGTTAGGAGAAACAGGATTATGATGTAAATTACCTTTAGAAGTGTCTAGTCCATCACATTATTCAACAGCAATGTTCAAATGAGGTAGTCAAAATACCTTAGCATGGCAACATTACACTAACCATATAGGAGGAAAATGAAAGTTTAGTAACACCTTTTTTAAAAATAGGGGGCTTCATTAAAAGCAAATTATTAAATAATTCATAATGGTTTTATCTTCTCTTAGTAACTGAAACCCTGCTGAGGTTAAGTGAGCAAGACAACTGAAAAGCTAAGTAGCCAATTGAGCTGCAGTACCTTTGCTCTGCACTTCCCAGCTCCAACAATAGTTAAAGCACGTCAACAATGAGACTGCAATACTTCTCCATAAGGAAGAAATATATATGCAATGACACACCCGCCGATTATTTACTTAAGAGTGAAACTGCATCCACTACTCACAGTGAATCCATACAGAGAGGGGGAAAATTAAATTTTAAAAAGCATATGAGTGTTGTTATTTTATTTCGGTGTGGGACAAATCATCTAGAAGGAAACCATCTACATCCTCACAAGAAGAATGTGAATTTGTGAATGATCAATGAACTCATATGCTATATTATTCACTCTAAATGGCACAGTCATCATAACATGAGTTTGCAAAAGTAAGAGAGGAAGAAGTTTATTTTTGTTTTCTATAAATATATACTGATTAGTTAAGGTTCAGACCAAGCCATCTTTATTCACACTGAGCAGAACTTGACTGCAATTCATGGAACTTGAATCACACAGTATGACTAAATAGAAGAACTGCACTCTAGGAAAAAATATAGAAGCACTTTAAAAGGTCACTTTTGTTCTCTCTCCCTACTTGCTTACATACATGTTCTAGGAAAAATAACAACAGGAAAACATGAAAGGATGAGAACATGAGTTAATAATTAGTTATAAAATAATGCCAGTTAGCAGCCTGGAATTATGCTGGAATAATAAAATGGAAGTATCTTAATAAAGTGAATGTTGTTAATGGCTTATCGGTTAAAAAATAATAATATTCTTATCAAAGCCACTGTATAGAAAGAGACTAAATGAGAGCTGTATTTTTGAATACTGTTTTGCATGGTCTTTAGCTTGCATTTATGTTCTTTTCATATCCCATTCCCACAGGATTATTGTTTGAACACTGCTGTAATCATTATCTGAGTGTAAGCTACTTTTAACTTTATTTCTATCTAAATCTCTAACTTAGATCATTCCTCAGAAGGGCAAGTTACTAGACCAGTGTGCAAGAATAGGAAAGTTGAATTTATATGCTCCTGTCTCAGGGCTTCAGGTCCAAGTAGGAGGGGTGACTGCTGAAGGGAGCCTTCAATGCTCCAGGACTAGGATGCAGAAGTATACAGAGATTTTATCACAGATTCGGTAGACCTAGTAAGTCCTGCACACAAATATGGAATTACACAGTAGTCATATTCCTTCCAAGAACAGAGCAATTGAATACAAAAATCAGCAATAAAGTAGCTTAGTTAGAGCCTCATTTCTCCAAATGGGAACTATGCCTCACCTGACTTCAAGTACAGAAATTTTGAAGAGATGTTATGCCTTTCCTAAGGTCACAGGGAGCAAGACAGGCCTACTGTGCACTCAGCCAACATACAAAAAACTACTAATTTCACCCACTTGGTTGAATTTTCCACAAAAGCACATTCAATACAATGTAACTTGACAAGGGGACAGCAGATTGTCCACAAATTTATATAGCACTGGATATCTGTTTTAATACAAGGAGAACAACTTTAAGAAACTGTGGCCAAGTCACATGCAAATTCTTCTCATCCACTGTGAAATGGGAAGATACATAAATAAAAAATACAGCAATAACAGAGGAACAGAACATCACAGATTCCAACAGAGAAAGCCATTCAGTGGGAATCTGTACAGTCATTAGTACAGTAGGGTCAGAGTTAGAAAAATGTGGTTTGCTTGTGGGTTTTATTTTAAACTGTGCAAACAAAAACTTTTCTGTTCACATCAAAACATGTTCATATGGAACAAAACATCTCCTGGAGTCCAGATCACTTCACTGCAAGGCTTTTTTCTCTGCTCCAATATCATCATGTGCCATTAATTTGCTAGCTGGAAAAAAAAACCCCTGAAGCCTAACATGTATTTTTGTTAACTTGTTAAAAAAAGTACAAGAAAAGCTCTCCATAATGGTGATGGGAGGAGCAATGGAGGGGGTGGGAGACAAGAACAGGACACAAAAAAACACCTTTTCCAAAGATTGTTCTAAGCAAAAGGGACATGTCATGTTAAACAGTAGTCAATAGCTGCATACAACCAGTAAACAAATTCAGCTCTATGAAGAAAGAACTACATCACCATTTAGTGGTTGCAATTTAGATTATTCTAGCGTGTAATACTTTAATTGTATAAAACAAAGCTGATGTCACAAACACAAAAGAACTTCTTGCAAAGCAAGCACCACAAGTAATTTTTATGCTGCCACTGATGGCTGACAAGTGATGAGCACTTTGTTCGAATTCATATACTTATGCATCTAAGGCAACAGGTGGCTTATAAAAAGAAAACACTAAGAGCTTTTTAACTCTTCATTACCAAATTTTTATAATAAGTTTTGTCATAATGACTAAACAATCTCTACAAATAAAAGCTCAACACACTAACTACAAAGATGAACCATGACTCAGAGAAAATGATCTATTATTTTACTAAAAGCAGAAACTGAGGTAAGGTTCTGGAACCCACTGACTTGAGCTCTACCTACACTCACAACATTTTGTAATTGGAAATTGTAAATTTCTAAATTGTAATTACACAAAGCACTCAATATTTAAACAGTAGCTTGTGATATATAAATTAAAATCCATTTAAGACAAAACAATTCATATTTTGTTCCTGTCTTTTCTATATCCATCTCAAATAATAGCTGAGTGTTGTGGTACCCTTGGAAGGAAATTTCTGGAAGTGTATTTTCAAGTCTTAAAACCAACTGAAAGTGATGCATTTCAGTTGTTGCTTAATGTAGTTTTGGGCCAAGAGTGGCATTACAGAAATAACATTTTTTTTTCTAAATACTGCACAGTCCAATAAACAGTTTTGTTTTCTTTACGCACAGAGAGTTATTAAAAAAATAATAAAAGCAGCTATGCTGCACAGAATGAAGGAACATACTTCATTTAAATTTGCATTTAAGTGCAAAGAACTTCAAAGAAAAATAAAAGACACTGTAAATAAAGAGATAATTCACATTAAAATAACAGAGCTAAAATAAAATAACCTAAAGCAGTATTCACTGATTTTGTTACATGTTGTAAAAACTGGAAGGTAAGTTGAGAAGACAAAAATGCAGTAAGAATACCAAAACAATCTTTATATTCTGCCTTGTAATTAAGCTATGAAATAATCATCTGCTAATGATTAAAAAATTTTAGTGTTTGCTGGTTTGGATAGATTCAACTCACATACAACATATTAGACTTTTTCCTCTGCATGGCAGTTTCATCATGCCATCCCTAACAATTTAAAAATATGATATCATTATTTCTTATCTTGTACCCTACACACACAATTTCTATGGTGATGCTCATTGGATTCATTTTTATGCTTTTTGACACTTCAGAGAACCCAACCCAAGAGTCTTAAACCGCCCAACTTTTGGATTCCCTCTGCTTCTTTAAATATTTTGTCTGCAAGCAAAATATGCTCCCTCTCAGGTAGCATATATTCCTGTACTTCTACATTTCCCCCCGTTTGCAACTCTTTCACACACCTGACTTCCCATTCCTACTGCTATTTAGCTTTGAGATAATAATTTTCACATCAAATTACCAAAGCTGGGTGCATAAAAATATGCAGTGTCAAGGAACTGTTACCTCAGTAACAGCTATCTAGGCTAGTACTGAAATGCAAACCTATGTTCAAACACATTTTAAAAGTTTAACTAGTAACACGAGTTTGAGGTACAGAAGCTTCTGCCATCCTCCATATAAGGAGAAAACCCTATAGGATGGAGGGGGGAATGAAGAAGGTAGAGACAAGGAAGAAGGGATGTTGTTTGATTTTGTAAAGAAAGTCCTTTAAACTAACTTTAAAGAAAACAAATTAATAATGAATTACTTGAATACGCAGAAATTTAACTACATACCTAATGAGAAACGCTGAGGTTCTAAAGAATAGTCTTCCTATTTTATCAGCAACAGATGGAGCTTCACTTTAACTGTAAAACATAAAATAAGTACCACAAGTAGCATTTCTGAGGTATTTCACAAAAATGCATAAATGTTTGGCTTGATATTTTGTTAATTGTCTCCAGGCACAGAGGCTCCAGGTGTTGTTTGAGGCTAGAGATCCCCTGGCATCAAAACTAAAGCAATGGTTTTCAAAGCAGCTCTTGCAACTATTGCTGATAAACATCCAGCATTTAAATCCAGCCCATTGCTAATTTCGTTTTCCACAGAAGATACCAGGATAAAAAGTCATCTTGAAATACACCAAAAAATAGCTGGAAGAAATTGTGTGAAGCAAAGACAAGAGTGACAAGCTCCAAACAGAGAAAAAACCAGGCCAGAAGAATTTCTGGTGAGATGCCACTGATAACTGACTAACACATAACCCATTGTAAAGCCAAGTAGAAAAGCAAAACTTCATCTTCACCCAAAGTGAAGCTGGACTTCACCAGAACAGAAGAGAAAGTCTGGAAAGCATATTGAAAACATACCAACTATCTTTGTTGAAGGCTCACCAAAAGAAGTCAGCAGATTTCCACATCAATACTTCAGCATTACAACAGCACAAAGGCACATCTGCAACCAAACCCTGCATCTCAATAACAGCTCAGCATAAATAACAGTCATAAGTCAGATTTCTTCAGACTCCAATGGACAACATGCAACGTTCGAAAAAAAACATCCCTAAGTCTTGTAACATTAGAAGAAAAGAAAACAGGAAAAAAAAAAAAAAGGAAAAAAGGATGCAAATGGCATATTTCCTATGGCTGCCTTTTTACAAACATCTTTCATTTTACCAATCTGAGCTTAATGCTCCCTCAGCTAGAACAGCATGACTGTTTACTCTATTACATATTAAATCCGATTAGAGATATTACCTATTTTTAAAATAACCCAGCAAGAAGAATATGGTTATTTCTAAGACCCAAACCCCCTTTTACTACATGGTTTCACAATCAGTTCCAACAGCACAGAAGTGGCAGCATATCCATGAGAAAAGGTGTCAGAGTATGGAGCCGCTTCAGCTCGCAGAAGACCGTCCTATCCAGTGTACAAGTCTGGCACAACGTATGACTTGGAAAGGGACAAGCACCTATTTTTCTGAAAGTGGCATTATGGCTGATGTAGAAACCAGGCAGCTCCCATAAATAGCAATTCTGAAAGGAAACTGAACCAGCTTTTTCTGTCAGTTTATTAAACAGTCTCACAAACTCTCATAGGCAAAGACAAAGGAACTCTAAACTGACAACCCAAGGATCTCAGAAAAATTTGCTTGACACAGAACAAAAAGGAGATATATATTAATTCAATCTTACACTAGCATATCTTAACTTACCCAGAAGCTTTGTCTATTTTGTCTAGGATAAGTAACATACAGCCAGAATAAGAAACCCAAAGCCAGGTTCCTCCTGGTCTTTTTTTTTTTTTGTTTGTTTAATTTGCAGTAGTTAGTCCACTGTTCAGTACACAGCAATCAAATAAAAATCGAATTAAAAAACCGCTCCTTGTCCATTTTAATATTGAAGTCACATAAGCCTCGGAAATTATCACCTCAGTTCATTTGGTGATTGACTCACTTGCATATTCAACTCCAAAGCAAGGAGGGACAGTGATAAAGAGCCCCTGGGCAAACTCCTACTGCCGTTCACAGCAGCCTGTGCCCTCAGCTGTGCCAGGAAGCGTAGCCATCTACGATTCAATTGAGAAACAAAGTGCTTCAAGGAACCTCTCTAATTTGAAGTTTTCCTTAAAACTCTGCATTAAAATACAACAACAATGCTTTCTCAAAAGCATTAAAAAAAAAACCCACCACTTTCTCAAAAGCAACTTTCTGAAAGGGATGCCGCAATAGTCTCAGTTTACACTCTACTCACCTTTCTGATACAATCATGCAGCTAATTAAAGTGAAAACACTCAGCCACTTATCTTTCCCCAAAGAACTGTTACTTTAACTTTTCTGAGGTAGCCTTTCTCTGACCAAAGGAAAACAGGCAAACATTTCATATTAGAAACAAAAACATTAAAAACAATAGAAAAAAACCCCAAATCCATCTGCAGTACTTTTCTCTTCAAGCTTTCAAGAAAGTCCATGAAACAGCAAAAAAAAAAAATTAAACTATCACTGTTTTTAAGAAGTCAGGATACTCTACCCCATCAGCAAAGACACCCACTCAAACAAGTAAACATGTGTTTCACAGCCACCTGAACACCCCAACTCTATCACACCCTGACGATTTCTTTGAAGTACTACAGAGGAAAAACTCATCTGCATTGCCTAAATAGCAATTACACACTGCCAAATCACACACACAGAACTGCAATAAAAGTAGTCGTAGGTCAAATAATAGCAATGACTCAGTAAAGTCTTTATTCTCAGGGGAGGGAGGGTTTACTGGTCAAGTACTTTATGACTCACAGTACAGTATATTAGAAATTTTCTATGTATTCTTTAGAATTGAGAGATTGCCCTTGTAGCTCAGTAGGTAGCTCTCCTGTTTCTGGCCTGCGAGGTCATAGCTTTAAGTCCCTGCTGAGGAAACTTAACAAGTTCCATCTATAAATAGAATGGCATTAGATGCTGCTACTCTAGCAAGGGTGGTGGCCTTTAGACAGGAAATTTTATGTTTTCATCTGTTCTGATACAAAAAAGAAACTGGACATAAAGAGGCATAGGATATTATGCTAAAGATGAATGACAAAGTGGGTTCCAAAATCCACTGTCACTTCAATCAGCATGATACTAACAAATCTAGCATTATCAAGCTATGATAAAGGCTAGGCAAGAACACAAGAACAGTAATTTTCCTTCTCAATGAGATTAAGTAATTAAATAAAATTACAGACTTTACAATATTTGAGACTGAAACATCCTAGGAACAATACAATCAAAATTCAATTTGTGACATCAAGAAGCAACCTCAACATAAAACAAATTTTGGACTGTTTGATTACTAACATAATGTTCAAACATTCATACCTCTATTTGAAGAAGTAAAGTATATCCTTGAGAGACATTTATTTAATTACCATGGATTAATATGATACAAATAAATTTTTACTCCTAATATCCATATATTTGGGGAGGCTTATTGAGTTCTCAGAACAGCTACTTGTGAGGAATTTTTTAATGAAACCTATTTTAACACTTACCTGAGTTTATTTGTGCTTTAAAGTGTAACCACCTGGCCTTAGAGGAATTAAAGCTCAGGTACCAGTTTCACTTAGTCTGGCAATGTAATTTACTGTCCAGTAAAGACAAAGGCTAACTCACTAGTGATGACAATTTTCCAGCACCTGTTCCACAATCTGCACCCACATGCCCATGATAACAAATTCATTCCTCTGCTGGAGACATAGCTGCAAACAGAATACTGTGAACAGATCTGAGGTACAAACCCACCAATTTCGTTCATGTACACACACCAGCAATGTAACAGGAGATTAGGGTGATTTTATAATGCAATTTCCTACATCTCAAACACAGTAACATTATGTTCAAGGATGACGACAGATCTTGCAATGTTCTTCTGCAATTTTTCAGCATAAGAGGTTATTCCCTTCCTGTAATTATCTTCTTTCCTAAGCGAAAAATCTGATTAGTTAAAAGTTTTCCATAGCCAGCCAAATTAAGCTAGTTGATCCCACACTGGCCCTGCTCTATCAAACAGGATGCTGGTGTACAGCATGTCTCCCTCTCTCTCGCAGGTGTAGGTTTCAAAGTAGTAGTAATTAAAACTGCATGAGAGAAGACTGACAAGAATCCCATCCTGGTCCTTTAATTCCACTATCAACATTTTGGACAATAATGTACTAGTATCCAAAGCACACACAAGGTCTTTTCTGCTCTTCAGATCCTTGTACAAAAAACTGCTTTTATGCATCAGCCTTCATCCTAAGTCTCTTTTCACGTTCTTGTATTGAAACTTTGAAATTGTAACACACAATGCAAAACTAGTCTTGCAAATATAAATTATTTCCTTTTTATGGATGATTTTGCTAAAAGGAGTAGAGAAATACCACTTTCATAACTCTATGATTAGAAAAATCTCCTATGCTAAGTCTTTTCTCAAAATCAAAATACTATACAAAATTTAACTGAAAAAATCCCAAACAAAAAATCTCCAAAGAAAAAACCCACAAGCACTAGATTAATACATAGACACAAATTCCAGTTTAATTTGAAAGCTTTCACAATTTCTGGATTTAATATGGAGAAGTTACTGAAAGCCAACTGAAAGTTTAGCTGAGTTATGAGCCATTGCAAATATTTTATTATACTTTAATTCAGTTGCTCTAAAAAAAAAAAGAGAAAATTTCAATAGGAACTATCATCTGCTCAATAGCATACATCAATACATCTTGATTGTGTAACACCAACAAGTTTGATATGTGCAGACTATTTTCAAACTTTGGTAGCCTAGCAGTGATAGATTTGTAAACAGACAACACTTTTTTAACACATGTCAATTGCACTCGGTAATATAAAACAAAATCAAAGCATCTTCAAAAAATTGAACCACAATATGTCAAAGACAATACAATTTTTTTTAAGACAGGTATCTTAACATCATTTCAAGGTGACTTTTTGACACATTATAAAGATGAAAAAACAGCTTCAGATAATAGAAGTGACAGAGCCAAGCTACAGCTGCATAAACTGAGCCAGTGTGATTCCCAAAGCACAGAACACACATGCTGAAAGGATGAGATGTAAGTTATACTTTGTTCACCGAAATGTTAGTGCAGTGGAGTGTGGCCAAGCGATATCCACACATGCGTCCTCTCAGCAGCAGTTGGATTCCAGGAGCAGCAATCAGCAGGCATGGTTTCTTGTTAGAGAACATGGGGGGAAAATGCATCATGCCTCAAGTATATAAAAGCTACAGATTATTAGCATCTTTATATAGAAAATACATACATTTTAATAGGAAGTCCAAAAAATCAGTGAAAAAAGAGGATGTATATCAGGATATTTATCATCACTTTGATCTTTATGGGCAAATCAAAACACTGGCAGTATTACTAAATGCTACCATTAACCTTCATGGTAAAAAAATTAAGTCAACTTGATTTTAAATGCTGAGCAAAAATCGGCAAAAATATTGTCAAACTCAGTTTTGATTAGTGTTTTTTTCAAGTACGAATAAACTACACTCAGCTGACATGATTCATAGCTATCAAAGCTTTAAGTAATGACAAATAGCTTTAGAAGTTACCTAAAACCCAAAGGAGGCAGAACCAGGGGGCGGACTAAACATTTCCAGTTTTAACAAACACAAAACTGGAGTAAAAGCAATTAAAACTTTCTAGGAACCCACTGGCATTGGTCACACCAGTCACTTCCGTAAGACCGTGGGGGATGTTTACCTAGCTCCACAGCTCTTTCACAACTACCACAAAGAACAAGATTTCACGGGTTATCAGTTACCAAAGTCCCCATCCTGCTGCTAAAAGGCAGCTGGAGCTCATCTGCTGTGAAGTCAGAGCCCTTCCAGAGGAGCGAGGCAGGAGCTTGCCAGCCCTGCCTGCACTCCCCAGCACCGAGTGACCGCAGGCAGCTCACAGGATCTCGGCAGCACTGGTACACCACGGGATGGCACAGCTGAGCTCTCGGGTTCTTCCACAAAACCCAGTCTTGCCTGCCCTACTTGAAAAATTAGGCATCCAACTCTAATGGTTTTTTATTAATTGAAAAGAAGTGTTTGATAGCAAAGTACTTTTACAGACAAGCTTCCTCTCTGTTTCTGTACCTTTGAAGAGAAAGACTGGATTTCATTAAAGAAACTAAAAATAAGAGAAAAATGTGGAGCATATTTTCTAGAAAACTAGGACTGCAGAATATCAGTAGGAAGAGAAATTTAAAAACATGAAGAGCTCTGGCTATTTAACATCCAGTACATTCAAAAACTTGACAGAGATATAGCAGTGACTAAATACTGATATCCACCATTTTCCTCACTGAAGCATTGTTTAAGTGTAATTTGTAAATTTACACTCGTAACAAAATTGCCATTTATAGTTCACCATACAAAGAAAGTAATTTTCTACAAGTACTTGTGACCGATCTGCCATAAAAGTTGAAAGGTGGTTAAAGCCTTTAAACTGGGGAAGAAACACTATGATAACCCTCAAACAGCCTGTCTTCTGTCATCACAAAAAACACTGCTGCTTCAGTCAAAACTGCTGTACACCTGAAATACGGAGAACAGAACTGTCAGAAATGTTCCAAATTAAACCGTGAAACTTGGAAGATGAACAAAGCTGTACCCTAAAGCACGTGTCAGGTTACTATGGGACTGCAAACACCACTATCCAGGACAGACAACCATTTCAAAATTAAATCCCCCATTCACTCAGCAAGTAAGTAAGCAAGTATATCTGTCTGAGGTTTTCATAACTGGGTGTGACCAAAAGTAAATTATACCCCTACCCCTAAGAAACTGGGATAACATCTGAAATTTTTAAGTGTATGGAGACCAACTGGTTTAGTGTAAGTATCAGTAAAGAATTTTCAGTTTGTGCACTTTTATAGAAAGAAAATATCTACAGAAAGTATCAAAACCCACGAATGGATTGCTCTAGTCTGCAGGGGAAAACTTAATTCCCTTGTTTGGTGAGCTAAGAGAATCTACTTTGTACGGTCACTTTTAATCATGTATTAAAAAAACAGTGGTGCTCAACACAAACCTCTCCTTTTACTTGTCCTGTTACCCTACTATGTGTAGTTGCCTTGTGTTGCCTGTTTCTTTGCAAGTATTAAATATACCTTAGACATATAAACAATATTTTTATTGATTACATGAAAACCATCTATCTCCGGAAAAGTAACAGTCCAACAAGGATATGAAAATTTGAAGGCTGAAAATTCACAGCCATTTCAAGATGGGGTGTATTGTCTCTTTTTAAATGAAGAAAGTAGAGAATTAGCCAGGTGAAAACAGAATTTCTCCTCAGCTTTATGCCATGTAAGAGCTCACCTGTGTACCTTGTGGTGGATCAACTGACAGGCAACAGCCTTCTCCAAAAAACATCTCAGAACACAAAGAGGTAACAACACTGTATTCTGTTATGGCAGCTAAAAAAAAAATGATATATACCTTCTGTCCTAAAGAAAATGCAGTTTAACACATCCTCAATAAATAAAGAAAACAGGATCAAACCCTTCAGCCTAGAACTATAAAATAACTTTGCTGAGCTACCCAAAGTTTGTGTCACCATACTCAACTCCATTCCTATCAAGCCACTTTCTTACTTATTGTTACCTTAATTAATACAACTTGGTTAATTCTCAAACTGCTTTCTGCAAAATTACCAACTGAACCAAGCTAAGTCAAAGCCTAACATGCCTTTATTCAATATACTCAGGTGTGCAGAGCTTGAAGTCTACAGCACAAATCCACAATGACCTGCTGCTGACTTCTTGCCTGGCAGCCATAAAAAAGAAAAAGACCAATTCTCTGAAGGACTCTGCCTCCCATGCTGGCCATTACCACAGGCAGTAGCAGTGCCAATCACAACAGCACAAAGACAGGGAGCAACACTTTCAGTGTTCAAAAGGTAAAAATGTGTTCCAGATCAAATCAAAATTAAAACAAACACTAAATTTGTCATGCTTTGAAAACACACAATCCCCAGATCACTTCCTGTTACAGCTCTTCTTAACAACATTTTATCATTCTTATCTTCTCCTCACCTTCAACAACACCTTCCTTCCAGCTTGCTGGCATACAAGTCTCACCCTCCAGTCCCCTGCCTATTACCCTTGAACAGGAGCAGCCTAACCAGGTTCCTCTTAAGTCACTTTCTACTGTGACTGCAGAGATTCAGTGTTCAGGCTGAAAATTGACAATTGGTTTCAGGGCACTGGCTCCCAAAGATACACAGTTCATCAGGAACTTGGATCAAACCTGGTAAAAGGCAACAAATAAACTTCATCCTCTCAGGATCTGCAAAGTTTAAGGATCTACAAAAGCAGCAGATTTCTACTTCCATTTCTGTCTTTTATTAACACATTCCATTTTTCCTTCATTAAATTAGACAAACTGCCATGCACTGCCAGCAAAAGAAAATGACACATCATTACTGCAGATTTCCAAAAACCCAGTTTCTTTTTAAGTCTTCAGAACAAGGCTAATGAAGAAAGTGTACGTGTTACATAGCAGAGGATGAGGATTGTCTTGGCTGGAAAAAACTGATGGCTTTGAATTGAATGGTAGAAGTTGAATTGTAATGCATATTTGCTCCAAAGTTATTAATTACAGTACAACAATGCTGTCCTTAAGCTAGAGAAAAGAGGTAAGTAAGTTTACATACGCATCAGATGAAAGATTCCATCACAGGCATTAATGTGAGACAAGAAGGAATTTCCTAAGCCTTGTCCAGTGTGGGCTCCTTTCACAAGGCCAGCAATATCCACCACATTCAGAAAGGCTGGAATTTTGCTGAAATATAAAAGTTAGAACTTTCATTACTAAAGCATATTAGCCAAAACTTTTGGCAGAGAAAAAAATTCAGAACATGAAAATTCAACACTTCTTTTCTGGAACAAGTTAAACATCACAGTAAGGAATGCATAAGACAAAATCCCCCCCATCCCATGTAAAACATCCATTCTCTAAATTCTCTGTAAATATTCATGTAAAATTAAATAAACTAGTTTTGAAATGTGGACTCATACAGACAACTACACAATAATCAAGCAGGCCTGGAAGGCTGAGGCATAAATATGTCATGTGTAGTGCACAGTTTTCACAGAACCAAAGGGATAAGACACAAGAGGCCATTGCACTCTGCTATTGCACAACTCCAAGGTTACCATTTGGTTCAGTAGGTTATGCAGCTTTCTCAGAAGAGTCTTTTTTTTTAATACAGTGCTGATTAAAAGGTTATGCAAACAACTTGGGAAAAAAGCAGATAAATTAAGATGGTATAAACAGCTGTGATGTGTTCCACCACAGTGAACAGCAAAGGGTTAAGCAGATATGTTTACATGACTTTTTATACAGCAACAAAAAACAGTTAAAAATGCTTTTAAAGGTATGGGAAATTTATAAATTGCAAACCTTCTATCCTCTACAAATTCTCAACTTGTTAAAAAATTAACAAATAACTTAATGGGCATTAAACCTTTCATATGCATTCTAAACCAGAATACTTTCCAAAATCCAGCTAAACCAGGAAAAAGCCCAAGAAAATCACTAAAACTTCGTGATAACGTGTTGACTAAAATCACCTTCATATGCTCTATGCAACTAACACCATCATCATGAACAGTGGCAGAGACAGAACCACACTGAAATGCTGCAAATCCCCCATTTGCAAAAGACCAGCAACTGCACATCACGGTCTCAAGATCTCCAGCTTGATGGCTCCAAAATAAATAGGTGGAAGAGCAGTTCATTCCCATCAAACACTTCATCACCATCATATTTCATCAGCAATATGCTAGGACTAATAGAGCAGCTCACTATTTTATTGGCAGTAAGCACAGCAGCAAACACCCAAACCCATAGCTTTACTCAGCCCCAAGGACAGGGTATGACCACCCCAAAGGGAGCATGAGTGAAAAATGCTGATCTGGAAAGCAGAGGGTGCCCTGTTCTGTGGTGAGTGTTCTTCAACATGAGATTCAAATCTAAAGAAATAAATTCTGTGGGCTACCTAAAGATGCCTTTTACAAAAACCTACCTTTGCAGTGCTACCAACAGACAGAAACAACCACAAAGGTGGGAATGAGGGATGAGGATAACCTTGCCAGTAATCTTCTAAGCAGTATTACACTTCTGAAATCTTTATTGTCCACAGCCCAAACTGAACTTTATTTTTGTTAGTGTGACAACTTGCTGATAAACACGTGTTTTCAAATACTGAATTTTTGACAACATGACTGTAACAGCAGGAAACTCCACCAACAGGAAAACAACCCGTCTCATCACAGTGCTTGGTATGGCAGCTATAGCCCGGACAGAAAAAAATGTAGTTACAGAAATCCATGGATCATTGTCTCTGCTCTGAGCAACCAACTTAGGCAGAACAAAACACAATTCCAACTTTTTTTCCTTTGGTGCTATCCCACTTTCATTTGACTGCAAATAAATCAGCAGATGTGCTTTCTCACTTCGAATTAACACTCAAATTTGGGGACAGATGATTCACTAGAATCTGAGTATGGAACATCAATTATTTCTGACCACTCTGGTGGTTTTGTTTTCAATCTTGCTCTAACACTTCCAAAGGAAAATTATTTCTTTCAAGTAAAATAATTTCACAATACAAGATCTGGACAAAATCTTTTCGTTTACCAAGGTGAAGCTCAAAGTGTCACTAAACCTCTCAGGTATAATACATTAGGAACTTAGTGACATGTTCCATGTAATTAATATCTTTGTGATGTACTTAGAAAGAAGCAGTTAAGTAACAATATAGTATGTTATTTGAATTCTGGTAACACAACAGTGACTTTAAACTTCACTAGACCCATGAAAAGAAGGGCCCATACTTGGGAAGACAGATACTGTGTGCTACAAGTTAATGCTGTGGAATGCAGTCAAAAGCACTTGAATGTAAGTTTGCTATGAAGTAAACCAATTTTGCAAATTTCACGGCTTTGTCTCACTATATTTTTTTAACTACCAGTACACAACAGAACAAATCCTTAAAGAGTAACTCACAGTCTCAAGACAGAAGCCAGTAAATATTAATGCATTAACCCAGTAACTCCTTTTGACTGATAGGAACAGAACTAACATACTTCAGAAGAAATTGCAGGCAACTTCCCAGTCCTTACTTTTTGACATGTAACTATTTCCTCAGCAGCAAGACAGAAAAACACCACTCTTTAAAGCACTTCTCCATTGTCATTTTAAACAGTGTTTTAAAGAAAACAAAGGTGGTTAAGAAATGTTCTAGGCTCCTCTCTCACCTTTCTGGTAGGATTAACCTCCTGGCCAGCCATTGAACGATTCACACTTTCACTACAAAGATGCCACATTAGAACAAGACTGACACCTTCATATGCAGATGGCCACTCTATCACTAGAATCAACCTCATTTGCCACACAATGAAAAGAAAACTGTGAAAGAAATGTGCTGGGGTTAAGTAGCACAAGCAAGAGACCTTTGAAGTGTGTGGGTTTCCAGGGCACTTTCTCACCTTCACTTCGGGTACCAAAAAGCTCATATTCCAAGCAAATTAAAACTATTCCCACTGGCAGACACCTTGCCAGGTCTAAATCTCTGTTTCGTCGTAGAAAAATGAATACACAGAAAAGCAAAAAAAGGCACAAGCTAATCACACTTGCCTGTACTCTGAAGGACAAAGAGTCAGCACTATGAAACTAAATAAACAGAGAACGCTGCACACAATGAGGGGAATGCACCACACATCTTGAATACGGTTTATTGAAGACTTAACTGCATTTTGCTTTTTTTTTCTCCTCCTCTAAACAAATTAACTTCCATTTCTTAAGATTCGTTAGTCACCATTAGCATAATGTCACTGAGCCTCAAATGATCATCAGGAACAGGTGGCATCAACTGATCATTTGTACAAATCAGTGCTACACCAATCTACCATAAAGCATGTCACAAGGATTTATAATATGAAACAGAACACCAAATCTGGAAGTATCTCTATATTTTAACCACAGGTTTAATCCTTGAGCAGGGATTTTTTACCTCACTTTGAAAAACATTAGCATTGAGTTTGTGTTAGCGTACAACCTTCACTGTATGAGCAACCATGCAGTAAAGAGCACAAGACTCACTGGGCCAGATAAAGTACAGTTTTGCAGTCTGGTGGGTAGAGCATTTTCAGGAATAAAAGGCTTATGCATCCATAGGGTTATATATTTTGCAGAAAAGAGGAATTCTTCTTCCTTCCTGAAAATTCACACAACTCAAGTGAGAGTCATCTGTTACCATTCACAAATGACCTGAAGTAAAAGCAGCAACAGAGAAAGAGAACATGTATATTGTACCAATCTCTTTGAGATCCCTTCAAATCCCAGTCTGTCCTCACTGCTATTTTTGGCTCATTTCCAAACAGAACAGTTTGGAACTCCCTCTTCCAAGAGACTGTTACAGCTCCCCCAATCAATCTTGCAACCAGTTTTGACCAATGTAAGCAAAACCCCTCACTGGGTAGTTAAAGGAATCTGCTTCCAAAGAACTCGGTACTGCAGGTGAACCCTGGTCATTTCTATGCAAGAATGATTTCATTAATAGCATTTTATCCATGTTACTGACAAACAAGACTTGAACCTAATGGCACATGAACCAGAAGTGAAAAATCTGCTAATTAAATTGTGCTTATATGAATTTTAACAAGGTAAGAGACTGAATGTGGATTACAACACATAGTCTGTATCCTGCACATGCCAAACACCTGCATTCTCAAACAATTCACTAAGTTATTACACCAACAAAATACAACTAATTACATTTTGCCTTCTCTCATCAGGCAGAAAAGATGGCTCAAGTCACCATTAATTAATATTTTTCATTCACTGCTGACAAACAAGCAATGCTAGAACACACATCACAGCCCAGCTGATTTACATAGGCTCAGAACAAACTGAAGAGCAGGCAAACTCAGTAACACCTAGGAAAAAGAACATTAACAACAGGCTATAGTTACCAATTTCCAGCAATTTTCTGTAAAAAAATGGGATTCTTTTATAGATGCTGATATGTTAAGAGTTCCAGCCTGCTACGTTATTGATCTCTCACTTTGAAAGTACAGGTGGTTTCCAACTACATAAATGCTCTTCTCTAACATAGCCTAAGTCCCACACAATGTCCCTCAAAGTCATCCCACTGATGATCTGGTTTCTACAAAATGCTTTCCAGCAACTGATTACATAATTTTGACTTTAAAACTTTATAATGTATCTGAGCATGCTACCCCACAATGAGCTCAAGGGAACTTTCATTTAATATTGCAGATGACTTTCATGATCTAGAGAGCAATGGGATTTACTCAGCTTTAGCTCAGTAAGCATCACTTGAGCACTAAAGATCTAAATGAATGAATTTTGTCAATCTGCAATGCAACAAAACAAAGCAATCTGCTGACAAAAAAGACAGAGATCTTGAATTATAATATGGATTGTTCTGGAGTTGAAGAGGGGTAGTTGCAATTTAGATATTATCCTCCTTTGAGATAACCAAAATTGCTCTAAAATTTAAGTTTAAAAAGGACATCCAAGACAGATTAGAAATAGTCTAGGTGGAAGAGAAACATTTGTGGTTGCAATAAGCTTTATGTTTGTGAACACGTGTGCAAAGCAACTCAAAGGTGCAAATCAAGAATGAAACTAACACTGACAACTTTTTAAGTAGTTTGATTCACCCCTTCTCTCAAATCACTCCTGCTTATAATCTCATTTGATTTTAAGCAAGGGAGGAAGAAGAAACATAAGACTTCAAAATCACCTTTTTAAGATTTTCAGACAGGCTGATTCCTATCCATTGGGTGTAATTACTTACAGTTAGGCTGTAGGTTAATTGCCTGAGGCTTACAGTGCTTCCTCCTGAGTACTTCTTTTAGTTAGCCATGTAACTTAAAGTAGAAAAAATGCAAATAATCACAGTAAGTAGATTACTGGGGCACAAAATAAATGAAATAAAGAGGAAATTGCAGTTTCCTCTACAACCTCAGTGAAACTCATTTTGAGGCTGGACTGCAGTGTGACTTGAGGCACATCTGGTCAGGCACAGCACACTACAAGTGTGGCAACAGGCTGGGGGACTTATGGCCTAAGACTGGGGGGGTACATAAACCCAGAGGCTTTCAAGCTACTTGTGAGTTAGGACACAAATCACTGCTTAAATTACATAAGTTTGACATACTTACACTAAAAAAAAAAAGTAGCTCTAAGTTTAAGGTGATTAAGCAACCTTTAATTAAATTTAGAACAAAAAATACACAAGAAAATAGCTTCATTAAAGCTTTTATTAAGTTACTAAAATTTCTTCAGATGCACTATACACACAGTTCTTTTTTCATGTGAGACACCCATAACTCCTAAACACACAATGTCCCATAAAATATTAATTGCTGTTAACAGAGCAACTCTTTACGGCTTCCATGACATAATTTTCATGTCAGGAGCTACTTGTTGAGATGAAAAGCATCTCTTTTCCATTACAGAATTAGCAGAACTCATCCTCTGCTTCCTACTTAGCATTCATAGATAGGTGGGGGGAAATACACCTTTCTGCTTTAGTTCCTGCTGAAGTGAATCAGTCTACAGAAAATACTCTCTTTCCAGTTACTAAACTGGAACTAATCCAATCATTAGTCTGTAAAACCTTGCTTGAAAGTATCTGTACTGCGGTAACAGGGGTAGGAGAACAACAAAATTAAAAATCAGCCATCTCCTTTCTGAGAAAGCTACACATGGGCACAATGTAACAAATGAGTTTTCACTGAATAATGTATGAAATTTATAACAAACAAGTAAGTAGTTTAAATACATACGTTAAGTTAGTAACATAATATAAACAAATACCTTAAAATCACAGGCATTCAGAATTGTGTTTAATATATTAAGGTATCTTTCTTTTTTAGTATCCACAGTTTCATTCACATCAAAAAGCACACAGTAGTAACACTAAAGCTCAAAGAAATCATCTATATCTATGTATCTATATAGAAATCTATGTATTTGGCAATAACATAGCAGCTTTTACTGTAAGTTCTTAGAGCCCACCTTCTGTGGGTGGGCTCTAAGATTCAACTTATTTACTGTCAACAGTCACATACATCCCACTGCTGCAGAAAGAAAAAAAGCACAGGTTACAAGTTCTGCCAGTGTACCTTAATCCATTAAGTACAGATTTACCTGTAGATAATTGTATCTAAATTTTTGCCTATGTGATTTCATTTACAAACATTTACACTTCCAATTAATACCAGCATGGGCTAACAAGTAACAGCACAGCAGTCCCAAGCAAGCTGAGGCACTCCTCTTTTGGAGAGAGGACTGGATCTTCAAGTAACAAGCAGTACCTGAAGATGCCAGCTCTTCCTCCAATGGCAGGAGAGCAGAACTCACAGCAGCAGTGCCCCAGCAGTAGGGCCAGTCTTGCTGCAGCAGAGCAGTCCCAGCTCAGTGGCACAGACAGCAGCTGCCAGCCCAGCCCTGTCCCTCTCCCCTCTCCTGGCTCCCAGCACGCACCCAGGCAAGATCACTTGGTCCTGTCACACATTACTGCAGTTAAGACAAAGTCACTCCTTTTTTCTTTTCTCCATCTCCCAACAATAACTGCAGTTCTGTGAAGACTAAGTGTAACATATGGGAAATAAAAACCCAAATGCTTTAGATTTTGAAAGACAAAATCTTGAGGCTAGACAAGAGTCCAATTTAAAGAGAATTCACTGTTTATAAACATTCTGTGTGCACAGATGGATTACATCTACTAATCCAAACAAGTAGAAAATTACCACAGAACATATTACATAAAGATGAAGAACAAAATCAAGACTATACAGAGAAATTAAGACATTTAAATTACAATTAAGTAGCCTATCTTTGTGACTACAGCCTTCTTTTCCTGAGTTAGTCTGAGGCAGACAAGCACACACAGCCCAGTTAAGTTACCTCAGTCTAGTGTCCTGCTGGACTATCCCTAATTATCTCTGCTTTATTACTCTTACAGTGAAACAGAAGAATCTTACAAACAGGATAAGTTAACTCAGGAGCTATAACTATCCACTAATGCATACATCCATTAACTTTAAGTAATAAACGTCTGGAGAAAGTAAAAAGACCATTCATATAAAAGATGATTATCCAGTTTGTTAGCAAAGTCAGTATATTTACTGAATAAAGATTCAGAAAATAGACTATTTTCATTAATATTTTAGAGCAATGAGTTAGGAGGGAGGGAAGGAGAATTTGCTAGTCAGAGAACACACATACAAGTATTTACAATCTTAGCACTCCCTGTAAATATAGATGGCCAAAGGCAGGGTGAGGGAAGAGGTAATAATCTCTCTGCCACTTCAAATATTAATATGGAAGTAGCCATTCATAGATAAGTGAGAATAAAAAGGAATTACTGACATGGCCAAAGCAGCACTAATAGTACAAGTTAGAAGAAAACTGTCAACAAAACTTAAAAGCTATGCCATTATCTCTGCACAGTCAAGATCCTGAAAGCTCTGTCTCTAATTCAGCAGTTTTGTTTTTAAGATCCATGCAGTAACCATCATGCTTAACATTGACTTGAGCAGGAAAACAAGATAACATGTTATAACAATCCACATAAACAAACAGCTTCATATTAATGCAGTATTTAAAAACGGCACAATAGCTACAGACAGAAACAGCTTGCTTAGACCTGAAAATTAAGTCAGAAAATTGATTTTTGATTAGCAACTAATCAATTTTTTTTAACTGTGGGTGAGATCTGGCTCTAAAACTGAAGCCCAAGAGTCGGAAAAAAGCATACACGTCCATGCTAGTTTGCCCTATGATTTATGTACACTCACTTGATTCAAGATACCTCTGCAAGTAACTGCAAACTAAAATTAATGAGTCACAAGTCCCTATTTAAGTTTCTGTATTCTGAAAACACCTTACATTTTGCTGTTCAAGTAAAAAAAAAGTTCCCACATCGAACATACACAGCAGATTACAATCAATAGCAAAAAAAAAATGATGTGACAAAATTAACACACTCCTAGAATAATGAAAGAATCAGGAGAGATGTACAAGTAGCAGAGCCTATTAAAAGGAAAGAAAATCCAGGACAAAAGAAACTGCCCACAAAACATACTGCCAGATAACTGAAGATGCAGGGATAACAACAGATATTTGTCCAGCTTCATATAGCACAGACAATATTCTGAGTATAGGGTGGAAAGCTTTCAAGTGAGCAACCTTATGACAAGTTAGGTATGTCCACTACTGTTTATTTTCCAAATCTCTTCAGAAGATCTTCCACGACACCTGGGAGCAACCACCTTCAAATACAGGAACACCTAGCACTAAATGGTGCTGAGCAATGACTGAGACTTCCTACATTTATCATTCTTATAAAATAAAGCTCGTATCAGGGGCATGGGAAAGGTATAATCCAGGCAAACATTTAATTTCACATACTAAAACAATGTCAGTAATAAACTTCTAGACATTACAGCTGCATTAAACTTTTATGAAAAGTTTTGATTCAGTAATACTATTTCAGCTGCCTAACTGCAGAAAAATATTAAGAATTACCTTGGAGGTTTGTGATACTGGCAGAGGAAGTCAAATCTGTCGTCTGGCACAGGTACTCGACTCTCATTTGGATCAATAGTACAGAAAGGAAAATTTTCAGCTGCAGCTTGACTCTTCGTTAACACATTGAAAAACGTTGATTTCCTATAAATGACATACAACTATTCTTAATATAGTTCAATTTAGAAGCATTTAAAAGTACTGGATTAAACCACATCTTATTTTAACCCAAAGCTGATAATGCGTTTTCCATTTACTTCAACAGCAGCAACCATTCCCCGCATTCTAGCAGAAGACACATGCATCTGGAATGTCCCACTGATGTTTACCTCTCTTTCCTACCCTTTCAAATTCCCCTAAGTACGTATATCATACACATATGTTAGCAAAAAAAAAAAAAAAATCAGTCAAAAACAATGCACAGCCCTACTGGCTATTTCTCACTTTATTCAAGCACAGTGAGACACCAGTAAGGATGCTTGAAACTTCTTTATTAACTAGTTTTGCCATGACTCACCCTTTCCACATATATCTTGTTCCTTAAGATTTATTTACATTGTAACACAATTTCAGTATCTAAGCAACAAAGTCAATAACGAAAAGAGAAAAAAAGCGGCACAAAAAGCAAACCAGAATAGTTAATCAGTTACCAATATTCTTTTGTGCATGTAAAGACACAATTATACCGTACCAAACTATCTTCATCCTTGTTAAGTATCAGTGGAAAGAAGCCTACAAGTACTCTACTGGGGGAAAAAAGAAAACATTTTCCCTTAAACCAAGTAACAAATTACTTTGTCAGCTAGCATTTATTAAGCTAAAAGAGCAATTCTTGATTTATTAACTCCCAAATTTTCTACAATAAACATTCAGGTTGTTGTGTTTTTCAGAGCTGCTCTGCATAGAGCCAACATGCTCAAAAGTCACTAACAATTTTCTTTTAAAGTTATGTCATAACAGAACTGAAAATGCTATTTATCCCCACTGACATGCAGTACAATGCTACAGCTAATTACTTCCTTTCTGGTGTATATCTTAGCTACACCCTGAAAAAAAAATTACAATAAAAACATAAGAAAGCAATGCTTCCAGCTTTAAGACATATACACAAGTTTAACCTCTAATGTGTTAAAGAGAACACAGAAATCAACACCAAAAAGTTTCACATGTATATATCCTCCAGGTAATCAATTCATTCTCCTTTTCAGGTACAGCTCCTGTGAGGAGCCATAACAAATACAGATAAGAAGTACGACAGCAATCAATTATTTACATTGCATCATCTCTTCCAAACTGTCACTTAGGCTTGTCTCACTGAGAAGACTTCTTCTCTGAAGAAATTTCAAGGAAGAAAGTCCTCTTCACTGCTAATGACATGGAACAATTAACCCCCACCTGTACATATCACCCCAAAATATTAAAGGAAACTGTTATGCACGTTTGCCTAAGTATTTGCACGAAAATATGCATTACACATACACAACAGTGGAAGTAAGAAAATTGGAGAGACAAAGGACATAGGGGTTTATGAAACTCAGCAATTGCTAAGACTTTTCCTTTCTTTGAACCCTTCCCTATTATCTTGTCCAGACTCGTACACACCTGCCTCTCGCTGCCAGTTCCGCGCCGCTCCACCTGCAAGTACCTCCAGCTACAGAAGGGAGCGCATCACTGAGCAGTCAGACTCGTGTCCCTCAGCTCCCGTCCGCATCTGCCCGACCCGCGCAGCGCCTCAGGCCAGCCCGGCGCGGGGGCACAGGCGGGGAGAGCGGGCAGCTCCCCGCCCGTCCCGCACACCTACCCCACATTCGGCAGCCCGACGATCCCGATCTTCAGGGACGTCCCGAACCTTCCGATGATCGGGTGCGACTTAATCCCGTCGCTTCCCTTTTTCGGGGGCATCTGCAAGCACAGAGGAGGCACACTGAGCTCCCCGCGACACCCCCGCGCACCCTCCACGCCCCGTCCCCTCCCGGCACGGCCCAGCCGGGGCCTCCGCCTCCAGGCAGCCGAGGAGAGACCCCCGCGCGGCGGCGGCGCCCGGGGGCCGTGCGGGGCTCCTGGCGCCGGGCGGGCGGCCCCGGCCGTGGCCGAGGCTCCGGCTCACCTCGGCGCGGAGCCGCCTCGGAGCAGCAGCGCCAGCGGCCCCTCGCACGCGGACGCGCCGCCGGAAGGGGCGGTGCAGCCGCGGGGGAAAGGTCGCGCCGGGCGGGAGGGGCGAACCCCGGTCCCGCCCCGCCCGCGACAGCGCGGCCCGAGTCCGGCACGGCCCGGCAGGCACGGTACGGCCCGGCCCGGCCGCAGCTCACAGCAGCGGCTGCCGCCCGCAATAACGCTGCTCGCAAGTGCGCGCGCAAATCACAGAATCGATGAGGTTGGAAAAGACCTCCGAGATCACGGAGTCCGACCTGTACCCAAACACCATCTTGTCAACTAGACCATGGCACCGAGTGCCACATTCAGGCTTTCCTTAAACACCTCCAGGAACAGTGACGCCACCAACGCCCTGGGCAGCCCATTTCAGTATCTAATCACCCTTTCAGGAATAAATTCCTCCCAATGTCCAGCCTAAACCTTCCGTGGAACAGCTGAAGAAGACCATGTCCTGTAATCCTGTCACAGGGTGCCTGGGAGAAAAGGCTGACCCCACCTGGCTACAACCTCCTTCCAGGGAGCTGTAGAGAGTGGTAGGTCACCCCTGAGTCTCCGCCAGACTAAGGTCCTGGTCTTCTGTTTGCCACCCATCCGTCCTGCACCAGAGCAGGAACCACTGGAAAGGTCAAATACCCCATGCCCATCTAAATAAAAAGGCATATGGTCAGGAGGAGACCCCTGTAAATACATTGTGATTGATTTATAACAATTTACATGACAAATTAATAAAATAATCTAAGAATAAAATAGGTTATGAAGAACAGACGAAACATTTAGAATCCATGAAAAATTAATTGCAGAAAATGTTACAGAAGTCAGATCAGGACTCTTCAAAAAAATCAGACATTTTCTTTAACTCAGGCTCTGCTTCTCTGAACCATTAAAGACAGGCACCATCAAGTGTTGCCTGCTAAGAAAATTGAAGGAGAGAAGACAGTAAAAACTATTCTTATAGCATGCTCTATTTTAAGTTCATAAGACAGAATTCTCAAAACTTGAAAAAGAGTGAAGGAGTCAAGGTGAGAGTATCATCAGATATATATCATCTCAGTCACAGTAAAAGGAATATAATATTGAACATATTTTTGAATTTTTTAAAAGAAAGGACACTTTTTACTACACCTAATCTGAAATTATACATTAAAAATGTCTGTTACAACTTTTATATTTCAGTGACATGAGATTTTTGCAACAATAATATTGAGAAAGAGAATGCTGTATCTGTTCAGAGTTTGTCTATTAGTATAGTGATAATAAAGTTCTTGCTGGTAATACATTTATGTAGTTTTTCTACTGTCTTACAATCTATCACTATACACATAAGAGGGGGGAAAAAGTATATCTAGTTCAGATTCAGATACAGTTACTTAGTTGTTGAATAAAACTGATGTATTACTACACCAAACATTCAGTAAAATAGAAATTAACAGAAATTATTATAAATTCAGCGCAGCCTCAGGACCCTTCACATCCATAAGTTACAATCTTCAGTAACCAAATTTAGTTTCCTTTTCAGGAACAAAATAAAAACATCATTTTCCACCCTCCTAAAGTTCAAGACACTTCACTTCACAGCATTTTGCAAGACTGTTTCACAGCAACAGTACAGGATGGCTTTGCCTAGCTCTACTAATAAAGCCACAAACTTTCTGAAAGACTACTTTTGGAGAGCTTTTCAGCTTATTACATCTTCCCACCATCCAAATATCTTGTCAGGCAATCTAGGTACAATAGCTCTCTGTAGATGAATGACTTGTCTTCTTAAAACAAAAATATTTAACTTATCAGTTTGTAAGCACAATACCAAGCATAAGGCATAAGCAGTCTGATACATGAAGTAAAGAAGGGTATGTGTGTGTGTTTGTGTATACACAAAAAAGAAAGCCTCCTATAGGTATAATTTTGATTTTAGCTGTTGGGGAAAACAGCTGAACTGGAAGAGAAAAAGAAATTAAAATCCTACCTACTTTTGTTGCTGTACTTCAATGAGACTACATATGGTACCAAAGTCAGCAACGCGTGTGCCAAAATGTGCAAGTTTGAATATAAGGTTTTAATTTATGCTCTTCATTTAATGTACTGTAAAAATGGCCTGCTTCCCCCCACCCTCTCCCCCTCCATAGTTCCTATCTAACTTACTGTTAGCACAGCCACTTCACTAAATGCAGATACAGGACTTCAAAGCATATGATTCTTTCAACTAGAAATTGACTCATGACCATGTAACACTTCATCTTACATTCTTTTAATTTCAAGATGCTTTTAAAGTTAAGGTTTGCCTTATTTGGCTGAATTTTCTATCCAAATCTGTCATAATGCTGAAAACCTCATTTTAAACTGGCATACGTAGTTTAAACCATAATAATCTTGACCATATTACATACAAAATGTGTTTTATAAGTTTAATGGAAAAAACCACCAACATCTAGAAAGCAATCATCTCAATGTCAACTCTCCAACACTGAAGTACTGCACAAATACAGCTTATTGTACAGCTGGATCATGTGCAGAAGCCAAACAGCCCTGGAGCAACTCTACCCGATTAAAAGCAATGTTTAAGAGACAGTAATAAAACAAACAGTTTATTGTTTCTGCCACCAACAGTCTTTGCTTTCTGCTGCCCAGAACATATATTTACAGCAAAGTCACCGTTAACTGCAAAAATAAGCGGTTCTGTAGAACTGAAAGAATAAAGACAGAGCCCCTGATCCTTGCTGTGACCAGGTAATATTCAGTGCAGCCCAGGGGGTGAGAAGAACACAGCTGCTTTTGTACACCCCAGCTTGGAATTACCCAGGACCCTGCCACTTGAAGGGAGCCAGATGACTCCCAGTAATAAATACACTCAGTACTAAAAAGAAACACTACTCAAGGGCATGGTCTAAACCAAATGGTGTTCATTGAGTACTGTGAAGTTTAAAGGTAGTAATCACACAGCTGAACTGTTCTTGAATACAATGTTTTTAAACATTACATTTGGTAAGGCTTAATAGTGTTTGTTCTTCTAGCTGTGGATTCAACTGATTTCATAGAGAATCTAAACTTACTCCATTCTTTATACACTTATATTCATACTACCCTTTGCATTTTATATTTACACATTTTTATTCTTTTGCATTATAATAACTGTCCTTGTTTTAATGGTAACAGATTGTTAATGGTGCTAGTGCAGCTCCAAAGATGTTCAGGACTGCTGTGGCAGCATAAAACATATCTCTCACCCCTTTCTGTGGCATCCCAGACTTTCTCATTCTAGAAGCATCTAGTGCAGAACAGTCTGATCTGCCACATATTATTAATATTTCTAGATCGTAACTCTGGAAATATCAGCTGAATTTCATAACTTTAACATGGACAATGTCACTAACAGGCATAATGCATACTGATATGTTCATAGTGAGAACAGTGAAAGAAATTTGCTCACAAGAGACAAAGTCAAGAAGAGAGAGGTTCTATAGTAGGACAAATTACTGGTAAATTAATAAAATTTCAGTTCAAGAATTACTACTTTAAATAAAATTTCGGTTCAAAAATGGTCGACTTTAAATATTCAGTACCTTAGCAAAATGAAAGTACTAATACAAAATAAAAATATATTGATTTGTATTATTAATATTAATATGAAAAATATTAATAGGATTAATATTAATATGACAATATGGTTAATACTAATAAAAACAGAGTAAAAAATTAAACTGGGACTGATAATGAGGTGAGCAATACTAGGGTTTTTCTAGGCCTCCAAGAGGCTAAGACCATTCTAGCATGACCTTTTTTTCTCAACAAATAAACCATATGACATGAAAGAACTGCTAAAATAAAATGAATGGTAATAAAAAGATGTAGATTTCACTTTATTTAGTGTTGTAGATGGTAGCACTGAATTGTGTATTAATCAAGTTGCTTGACAGTTGAACAAACAATAGTATTAAACACTTCTCATGCCTTGAAGGGTACTCTTAAACATGAACAAAGATCCTCTAATTTTTAAGTAGGGAGACTTCTGTCTCTGAATTTGGACTATACCTGTGTACTTCAATAAAAGCAAGCAAACAAAAAGTCAAAACCAACCTGCCTGCAAGAATGCTGACTAGGAATAAACCCACTGAAGGACTTATTCTTGAATCAGTCTTTTGCAATTTTTTTTTTTTTTGCAATCAGTTTTTTGAGCAATGTTCAGTAGCCTGAGGGAGGCTGCTGAACATTGGGAGAAACTGGCAAGAAAGAAACCTTAAGGAAAATAAAGTTACTTTTCTATAAATGTCTCTACATTTTGTGTGGGGTACAAGTTTGAAGTTACAACATCAAAAGCTAAAATAATGTACGTTTTAGCATTTAATGTAGATTTTTAACTGTGTGCAATTAAATGTCTATGCAAGAATAGAAGACTCTTGTTAGCTTTCAAAGACATTTCATTTTTCTCTTTTAGGGCACAAAAATATTTGTGATGTCACTTAGGATAGATAGAATGACTTCATTTATTGAACACAGCAGAAAATGTATAGAGAGATCTGCATGGTTGAACTTCAAAACATGATCTCAGGAAAAAAGCCACAAACCTCATTCTGGATCTAATGCAGATTGAGCAGTTATATTCTAGCCTCATAAGACACATTCTATTTTGATGGAAAAACAAAATGAGATACCTAATAAAGTATGTTAGTTAGGTGATAATGATACATTTTATACACTACATATTTGCAAAATGACTGTAAAATGAAAACCAAACAAAATATTGAAGGACATCATGCAGCAATTCTGGAATTCTTTTTTTTCCATATTATATTTATTCTACCTCTTAACTTCAGATTGTAAAGTATTTTATAACCTGCAAAGTTCAGATAAAAGGAATTAATCATAATCATCTACATTTCTAGAGGCCTAGAAAAATAGTTACTTGTGGGAAATAGGACAGTATTTACAGAATAGCAAAGAATTCCTTATACTCTGTAAAATCTGCAACCTTTACCAGGTCATCCAGAGTGCTCACAAAAGCTGCATGTATAGCTGGATGTGGAGCCTGGTACACAAAAAGGGGTGGGACATTTTCCTCTGGGCT